CTCCCACCTTCACAACCCCATCGAATCTGGCTGTTGTTTTTGCAGATGGCGCCGTGATGCCGTCTTGGTTCGACATCCACGAGCTGCCTTTGAGCCCTGTGAGTTCACTCATCCACCCACTCAGTCCCTACCGCTTGTATACCAGTAGAAATTGATCTGGCTCAAATCTGTTAATGTTAGGGTTCGCCGCAAGATGAGAGCGGTGTTCTTAAGGCCGTGGAGAATGTGCACGCCATGATCGACAGGGAGGTGGCCGGCGGCATCCATCCTGACAACATATTTGTTTGTGGGTTCAGTCAGGGAGGTAGGATTGTTGCATGGGCGTTGGATATGTTCTGAAGAGGGCAAATTTCATGTCGTAAACTGATGAGTATTGTATTATGTGTCAAACGGCAGGTGCTCTGACATTAGCAAGTGTTTTGCTTTATCCGAAGACGCTAGGTGGCGGTGCCGTGTTCAGTGGCTGGGTCCCTTTCGGTTCGTCGGTCATCGAGAGGATTTCACCCGAAGCAAGGAAGGTATGTGACGCAGTCACCCCTTGATGCCTTCTCCTTAGTTTAGCAATTAGCACACAATAACAAGATGTGAGGAAGCTTGAATTTATTGGTTGGTGTAAAATTGAACGCTAGTCAACAAGAGATGAGGTTGGTGATGCTTATGTACAGCCTTGTCATTGCCTTTTGAATAGAAATATTGCCTTCTCCTGAGTTTAGCACACAGTCACAAGATGTGAGAAAGCCAAAATCTATTGGTTGGTATGAACTTGAACGCTAGTCAACAAGAGATGTGGTTGGTGATGTTTATGTACAGCCTAGTCATTGCCTTTTGAATAGAAATATTTCTTATCACGTGCCCGAGCACTGCCGGATCTCTGCCTACACTAGTATGGCCATACCCAGGATCCCTCATCTAAAGGTTTCTTCAATTTTAATTGGATTGCGTCTACACCCGGAACAAAACGATGTAGTTTTTGCAATAATTCCTGATCAACATGAGCATACTCAACAATTGAGTTATGGAAGTATAGTTTTGGCACCTAATATATTAGATTGAACTAGTCTGAAAACAGCTGAAAGACCAAAATGTACCGACCTCAATGTTCTCACTATATTTGAACTTCAGTTATTTCATAGTTGGTACCTAAAACTTAATATCAGTGCTGCCTCTTGGATTAGAAATATGGCAATATACCTACTGTGATCCAACCTTACATATAAAATTATTACATTTAGGACTAAGAAGTGACTTTGCCCACCTTAGGACTGTACAATGATAATTACACCATATCACTTTTGTATTTTGACCAGTCAACAACGCTATTGACCACAAAAAAGATAAATGGCATTGAACTTTGAAGGATGCCATCAGCAATTTTCCCTTGTGATGTTCCTTTCGTATGTAAACCTTCATGAACCTGTGAGTGATATGATCTCTGACACTCTGTCTTAACCTATTACATTCAGCAATGCTAATAGTCTTGGCAGTAAAATCATATAGCGTTGACTCTTCTATACGAGAATGTATGGATAAAAACACGCAGATTGCAGGCATTTGTTAAACATGCTTGATGCAATTAGCCTGATTGATCGAGGGAAGCACTTGCCAAAAAAATTAGTAAACTTTGAAGAATGCTAGATGAACCCTTCAATATATGAATAGGAGTTCGAGAGTAAATTTGAACTCTTTATAAGAGCATTAATTTTGTTTGGCTGAGTTTTTTCCCGGAACTTTTCAGACACCTATTCTGTGGTCGCATGGAATCGCTGATCAAGTGGTATTATTTGAAGCCGGTCAGGCCGGCCCACCATTTTTGCAAAGTGCAGGCATCAGTTGTGAATTTAAGGTAATCTTCTACATCCTCTTTTTCCCCTTCTCCTGGCAAAGCTTTGGTTTTATATTTCTTCATACAATTTTCCGGTTCCTCCTATCTGAGCTCTCAACTGCCCATGCACATTTATCAGGCATATCCAGATCTAGGCCACTCAATCACAAAGGAAGAGCTATCATCTCTTGAGGCGTGGATCAAGGGCCGTCTCAAAGCCTCGCAAGATAAGCAAAGTTAACGTTCTTCAGTTTGGGCCGCCACCACATCCCCCACTATAGCAAAACTGGCTAATGCAGCCGTGCTGAACCTGTATTCCCTGCTATATTGATGAACTCAGACGATCCAAGCTATTCTTGAGACTTTGTCATGCACTCATGCTCATGAATGTCTCCGCGGATGCATCACTGATGTTCCAGGAAACTATGTACTGCGGTATGTTGTTTCTTTGTCCTGTAGGTTTGACCTGGTACTACCTGGATACCGCTGTACAGGTATCCTCTCTGCTTAGATTCTGCCTACCGATACCGCCCATTGTGGCTTTCAGTTTCCACACTTCTCAGCGTATCATTACATCGGTTGCATATCATACGTTGTACGCACGGCATGTAGGAGTAGAACTTGTCCTTTCTTGTTAGTAAGATAACGTGGGGATTCTGCATGCGACATCGGATATACCTTAGTCCATGTCCTTTATGGACATTTGTATAAATGGAGCTCGTATTTTTGCTACAAAGAGAATAATTTCATGTCCTCTTCCCTGTGGATGCATTTCTTCCGGACAAAATTGTACTCCCTCCAGCCTTTTTACTCCGCGTATTAGATTTGTGTCAAGTCATATTTTACAAAGTTTGACCAAATTTATACTAAAAGATATCAACAAAGATACTTTGATTTTGGACAAAACTTATATGCAAACTAAAAAGGACCGGAGGGAGTATATCCCTGCGGATGTGTTTGATCTGTTGATGATTAAGGTTCTGGTTTGCATCATTTCCACTTTCTCTGGCCAAGTCAAAGGCCTTTTGGCCATTTTATGTTCCTTTCCAGAGCCACACGGAGACGGCTTAGTTTGATTGATTTGCCGCGCTTACTATGACCATTTCAATGAGAACCAACGAAATTTTGACCACCAGGCAATGCATGCCCTGGACTTTTGTTGCGGCTACGAGCTATAGATATGAATGAATATACATGCAGCGGAGACTCGTGTAGTCTTGTTCAACTTTGGAGTAATGATGGAACGCAAGCAGCCCAAATATCACCAGTAACATTGACCAGGAAATGGAAACGATCCACTCACGTTATTATGATATAAGTACGTGGCAAGAGGGAGGGCAGAGGGCAGCAAACCACTCCTGCGCCAACAAACAACGCGAGAAAGATGGCCATGGCGGCCAAAACCCAGCTTGTCTTGTGCATGCTCGTGGCCTTCTTCCTCCTCCTCCTCGCCATGGAGGTTGCTGCCGCTAGGAAACTACAGGAAACAGGTACCGGATCTCATCTCTCTCTCTCTCTCCCTGCCTCTGTATGTGTGTCTGCACTTGTAAACATGATCAATGCTTTGCTTCTTTGCTTGCTTCAGATGATAATTACAAGGGCACGTATCCTTCAATGGGTTATCCAACTGGACCACCACCATAGTCCATAGGTCTCCGCGAATATTTATCGTACACCATATTTCATGAGAAATAAATTATACGTATCTATATATGTATACGTATGCAGGGTTCAGCGAAAAGTGTTTCTACATACGTGTGGATTGATACATGTTTCTTTCACACAATGACTGTTAATCTTGTACGAGCATGCATGCGTGTATGTCCATCTTTTTCTTCGCACAGCTGAATCTGCAGGATGAAACAATTGATTGGTCCTTGCTCGCGGCAATGCAAGTTCTTTTTTTTTTCCTTTTTTTTTTGACGGCTTATCATCAGGACAAGTTTGTATCGAACGAATGGAGCAGAGTTGCCTCTTGTGACAACTTCTGTCCTTTGCTTGGAAACTGAGGCCTCCTTTGATCATAAGACAGCAATATCCTATGAACACAATAACTATAAAGCCTCGAAAATAAACTATAAAAAATGAGATGACATGTATCTCAATTTCTATAGGAAAAGAGATCTCCCATGATTCATATGATAGGAACTATTTCATTAAGTATAGCCTATTTTTTTTCTTTTCGAAATGTAAAGGATTGGTTCCTATCCTATATAGGAATAGGAATCCATTCCTAAAATCCAAAGGGCTCCGAAAGATTTTTTCCTACAAAATTTCTATCCTTTGGAATTCCTACAAAATCCCTCTAAACTAAATGAATCCTAAAAAAAT